CACCATCCCAATGTTGATTTGAACGGCCCCGTGTTCCTTCGCAGGGATCAGCCGCGAGGTGGCGGAGCATTTTCTTGGGACGTACAAATCAACAACACGGCCCTCGTCGTTCTCCATCCTGCGGAGAGAAAACAAATAAAAAACATCTAAATTAAAGAGAAGGTAAGGGGAGAGAAAGAAGATAAGCCATCCAACATAATGATGAAGCCAAGCAAATAACCAGAGTCAAGCAATAAATAACATTTAAAAGCATGAGAAATAGAGGAATCAACACTTCAATAAACAACCCATAGAAAAGGGAACAAACAACAGAAAAATGCAAACAATAACAAAAACAATGCGAAAGATGGAGGGATCTAAAGCAGAGGCACTAATAGACAAATCAGAAGAGATAAGAATATATACCAAAGAAAGACAGCAAACAACAACGGCGAAACAACGGAGAAAGGTGAAGCAACAAGAAACAAAGACAAAAAAGAGAAGAACAAAGGCAACCGCATACACCGCTTCGCTTCCATTCACAAGCACCCACAAAGAAGATGAAACACCAGCAAAAGGAATAAAACAAAAACAATGGCGAGAAGACAGCATGCGGCCGTAGGGCAGCTGCAGCTGCTCTTCGTCTTCGCCTGCATCCGGATGAGCGAAAACAAACCCAAGCAACGCCTATTCATCTTTGCAATAAGACGGAAAACAACGAGAGAAAACAAACAAGAGGAGGAAAAAGAATCTAACTCAACTGCACATACACCGGGGCCTCCTGGCCGCTCCGCTGTCCACAGGTCGGCAGGAAGCACAGGGAGGCAAAACTATTCAACATAAGAAGGACGAAATACTAATTCACTTCAATTACTTCCCTTAACAAAGACAAACAAAAGCAAAAGCCCTTCTTGGGGCCACCAAGTATAGCACGAGTTGGACGAAGGGCGTTCTGCAACTGGATGAAATTAAACTCACTTCTCTTGCGGTTAGAAGGCGTTCTAACGATGAGAACAATCACAATAATCGCAAAAAGAAGAAAATTCGAATTTTGCCTCGCTTCAGCTGTCTGTACACCTCAGCCTTCCAAGCTGCCTGGGGCCTCCCCACAGCCCTACTGCTGCGAGTGCGTTCTGGCTGCATGGGGCTGGGAGGCTTTGAATACCGATGGTTTTTGAGTTACTAACGCATCTTTAGTGTAATTACGGCAGGTTTTTCATCTTAATATACCATTATGCATTAAAAAACAATTTAAACGGTTCATTTTCGCTGAAGAAAGCCGAAGAAGCAGCCGCACTGCTGCCGTGCTGCGGTATTTGCTGCGGCAGCTAGCGGTCGGCTCTAGTGCTTGTATTGTTGAAATGATGTTTGTTTGATTTGTCTGTCGCTGTTTATTCCTGCTTTTTGTTATTTTTCTCCCTTTTCCCTCTCATTTAAGCGCTGCGTGGCTCCTCAGAGCCTCCGGTTGCTTCCTCTTCCCCATCTCACCAGCGCCGTTGAGCTGATGGTGCGCGATTTGCTGTTTGTCTTCTCTTTGACTCCTTTTATTTATTTTTCTTCATCTTCTTCATCTTTTTTGACTTCCTTTCCTCTTGGCTTTCCCCCTTCTTCAATTTAAACGCCGACGCAGACCAGAGGCCCCTATCGGCTGCTGCTGTGTTTGGAACATATCCCTCCTTTTTTGTTGCAGCTCCTGCAAATCATTCTGCTGCCTTCCGGTGCGTCTCTTGGCTCTTGTTTTAGCGAATTAACAGACTGCAGTAGCAGAGAAAAAGAAGGGCTGATGATGTTGCATTCTGTGCTATATATTACGTCTATACTGTTTGGTGTACAACATGCATTCTTTAATATATCGTACAACAGTATTATTGATTACTGTATATTGCATCATTATTTATATGTAGCCGTTGATTTTATCTACAAACTTTTATTTGCTTGTTGGAGTTTATATTGACAGCAGAAGCAACAGGAGAATCAAAAAGAATAAACGAGGACCCCAGTTGCACTGTATGTGTTTATCGCGTGTTGGTCTTGGGTTTGTGTTTATGTTGGGTGTGTTGTTTATTTTTAATTTCGTCTGTCTTTTTGTTTCTGCAGGACGTTCATCTGCTGTTCTTTGTTTCCTCTCTTCTTTTTTTTCGTGGAAGCTTTAAAGAAGATGAATCTCCTTTTCGCGCGGAGTTTGCTGCTTAGTGCTGTTTGCTGTTTGTCTTTATTATCTCAACCCCATGGGGCTCTGACTCTGCCTACCAGCAGCAGCATGAACGAGGAGGGAGAAGTGCTGCCAATGGGCCGCCAAATCCCTGTGAATACTTCGCAGCAGACTGTGCGAGCGCAGCTCCCTGTTGAATTTGTTCAGATTGATTTCAGCACCCCAGGTAGTGCTGCTGCTACAGCAGCAGAAGCAACAGCAGAAGCCGGCACCGTACGCCAAACAAGAGACCCACAGGAAGATATCAATTCAGACAGTTCGTTTTTTAGCAGCTTCGATGGTTTCTCATCTCCAACGATCGCCTTTTCAAGAAGAACACGCAGTAAGGCATTTGCTCATGAGGTGTCCATACACCTGGAAGTTGTATTCCATTCTGCCGTATGAGTAGCATTATCATCTTTTTTGTTTTTTTCGCCTTTTCTTTCTTTTTCTACAGGGTCAGACGAAAGATCCACATACCCTTTTCTAGATTTCTTCACATCTGATTGGGACGATGAAGCTGATTCTTTGTTTGAAGGTGACGGCCCAGATGAAGACGAAGATATTTTTGCCTTTCCCGGCTTTTTAGCGGCTGCTCCTCCTCCTCCTCTCAGCGAATCCATGCCGTCGCGATCGCTGAGACGGAAAGGTAGAATTTGAACTCAACATGAGGCTTCTGCATGCAGCGCAAGACGCAGGCAGGCGATGGCCGCATCACCATCACGCTTCCAAGCACCCAGCTAGCTAGCTAGCTAGCTAGCTAGCTGTCTGGCCCGTTAGCTAGTTAGCTAGCTGGCTAGCTACGAGGATGCTGAAGGAATTAGGTGTTGGGTGCGGCGCAGGTCCTGCATCATATTTACAGTGTATGTACACCTCTTCGCACCGCTTTAAATGAAGCCTTTGAGCTCGGAGGTACAGAGAAATGGAGAGAATTTGTATGTATCTTTTCTCCTTAACGACAGATTTACACAAAAAGCGGTAGCCGCAAGAAGTGGTTGCTGCAGAGCCCTTCTCTTTAATGAATCGCAGCGACTATTGCTGCAGATTTGTTTGCTCTCGCACACAAGTGCGGGAACGAAGACGAAGTTTTGTATTATTTCTTGGACTTCCTTTTTACGTATTTCAAGCAAATAGATGGAGAACACTGAAAAGAGAAGAAGAGCTGTTCGCTTTATTCATTCGTTTGCTGCCACTCAATGGGTAAAACCCCAAAGCAAATAATATACTACTAATGATGGTAGTAACAAATGTAATAATCCGGATAATAGGTTAACTATCAGCAACAATAATAAAAGTAATTATAAACAAGACAAAAATGCTGCATTAATGAGGAAAGTAGACGTAATCAGGCTGACGATAGTTGTTATAAGCATCAGCAGTAGGTGCCCTAGCCACAGTAATTATAGTTTAAGAATGAATAGTATAATAATGATATTAATAATCACAATACTATTGACAGTAGTAACTATAATAATGAGAATACGTAAAGAGAAACAATAGAAATAAATAACAAGTGTCCCAATAAATAAAAAAGCAATAATGATAGACAATACTAGTTAAGCTTTTTTGTTCTTATTTGAAATATGAAATAATTAAAAACTGCATTTAATTTGTATAAAAAGACCAACAGAGAATTAAAAAGACATTCTTTTACTGCCGATTTAATTATTCTTCGCTATGTTTTGTTGGGAATTAGCAATCTACGAATTATATTTGTAAATAGCTCATAAAAAAGGCATCCATATAATACTATGAAGCATTACTATTATTATTATTAACATTATTGTTAATAAAGTTTTATTTATTGCATTTTTTATTATTATTCAGGAACCTGGCTAAACAGGTGAATTGTTTCTTCTTCAGAAAGCGTATCGCGCATCGCTTCTTCAATGCCGCGTATACTGCCTGCAGGGGACAAACAAAAGCAGAAAAAACAAATAAATAAGCAATTTAAAACCGTTTAATTATCATATTCATGCAGTTATTGTTCATTCATTTTCTTATTATTCAACTTGGCCCTGCTAATATTGTTGGTTTAGATATATACCCAAACCACCATACAGCCGATAAACTGCTGATTGGAGGATGAACAATAAGGGCAACGGCGTGCATTAACAAGTATATATATATATATATACATGCATATATATATATATATATTAATGAATGTATGCATACTTATGAGCAACTGTATATTTATATATACATATATATATATATACATACATATAGTTGTGCTTGTTAATGCATGTAACTGCGTACACAT